AGATGAGGAAAGAGAGGAGGCTGTGGACATGGAGGAATATAAACATGCAATGCTGGAACTGGAGGGATTACGAATCAGCGAAACACCTGCAGAGACACAAGAACAGGACGGTGAAAAGAGTAAGAACAAGGTTCAAGAGGATCAAGAGACTGAGACTGCATCTTCGCCTCCAGGTGATGAAGAAACAGAGAAGCAGTTAGATGAAGAATTGGAGGAAGCAGAGGATGAGTTCCCAGCGCTGGCAGATCTTTCTGCCTCCAACAAGGAGTTTAAACCTTTCAGGTAAAAGCAGTGGATAGCCAACACAATAAACCCCCCAAAATGAAGATTATTCTTTGATGATTATGTGCCACTATTAGATAAATGGTACTGCAGGAAAACGACATATGGGAAATATAAGACAACTGCTGATGAACTGCTTAGCTCATCTGTGTGGTATGTCCTTTTATGTGATCATTTGTGTTTTGTAATGTTCAAATAACTCTGCAGCTGGTTAATAAAGCCCCAATCATAGCAGTCTAAAGACCAGTCACAGACCTTCTGGCAACCACTGGTTAGTAAATTTTGTTGTACCTGACAGGTTGACAAGTAGTTGTGGGGGTTGCTGGTAATCTAAAATCAGTTGCTAAACCCTATTGACTCAGGGCTAGAGACTTGTCTGTGATCCTCTGGCAGCTGCCACTTGCAAGGGAAAAGGGTGTTTTCTGCAATCGGTCAGCAAGTGTTTGCTGGCACTCACTAGTGTGAAATCGGTTGTAAAGAGGTATAGTACTGCACTGAAACCTTCTTGTTATTGCTTTGGTCACTGCTACATTTACAAGTACTTTAGACAAAAGATGCCAAGTTTTCTGCAAACAGTCAAACTACGGTAGTGAAACTATGTAAGACTAATGGAACATTTTCCTTTTGAAACGTGTTGGTGGTAACAGTAATCTGCATCGTAAACCTTGAAGCTGTGCATTCGTTTTTGGTTTGTCCCATGCTTTTTCAAGTTTCAGTACAGCTCAGAGTAAATGGTGAGTGTTTGAGGACAAGTCAGTGTCTTCCATGCAAACTACAGGCAACTGCAGCAACCTGCTAGCGATCAGAGCAGTTAAAAGGTTTCTTTCTGGTGCAGCAAAGCAGACTAACGACAGGCAACAACCACTCGGCAACCTGTCAGAGAATATACATTTTTCCCTAGTAACCAAAGCAGTCTCTTATCCCGTGAATCTGAGGCTTTAATAGGATTGTTTGGCAAACTATTATTGAGACAAGCCAGAATTTTTTTTTTTCTGAATTGTTAGTGAATTATAGAGACAATGAATCAAAATTTATGCTAATTTGTGACAAATTGAGCTGGTTTAATGAAGTATGTACATTACATTACAGTACATTTATGTGCTTTGCTATGATGTAATTTTTATCTCCCTGCAGAGATGCAGATAGTCTTCTACAAATTGTAGAGCACAGGAGGAAAAGGACAGACAGTGAGGCCACAATGGGAAGCACAGGGAGCTGCTCTACCATACCACCAGTAAGTATAACATAGATTTACACTGTTGATATATCTGGTTGACAGGGACACTCTGTTAATCTACCCAGTAACCAGAAACATGGTGACAGATTTGATATCTTCATTATTTGGAAGTTTCAGCCAACGCTGCAGCAGACACATTATACAGTTTTGGGGAAAATCTTAAAATGTCCCATAGGTGTTGCTAAAGAGCTTCAGTTTGTAAGAAGGTGAATTAACACAGAAACAACATGCCAGCACAGTGTTGTGTCTGACTTTCAGAGACAGGAGGTGAGTATATTCATCTGTTATGACCTGTTGTTGTTATCGTGTGGCCTGCAGGAGGTAATCCGTCAGAAGGTGCGGAGGCAGCTCACCAAACAGCAGAAGGCGGCGCAGAGGAGACGTCTACAGAAGGGTGAGGCCAACTTGGAAACCAAATCCAGGAGGGAAAACCAAAATAACATCAAGTCTAGCATGGAGACCAGCGAATTCTGGGGATAAAGAGAACAGCATTGATGAAATTCATGTTAACACCCTTTTTCTTTTTTTTTCTTTTTTTGGGCTTTTTAAAATTTTTTGTCTGTTGTAAACACAATTAATAAATACTGTGTATTTATTCAAAAACTCAGCTTATTTGAATCATTACAGAGAAATCAAAGTGGAGGTCACATAAAGTGAAAACTGTTTTGGATGCTGTTCTCATAAAATCTCTTGGTTTTCTTTTTGAACTTAAGTAAAATTTTGTTGCTTGCATACACAAATATGGACTGCTTAATATAGCAAAACAGTGTGATTAAACTATGGAAGTGTTTTTCTTATTAAATAAAGGCACTTGTTTTCACAAAACACTTGTTATTTATCATTGTGTTAGTGCTGCATTTTTTGTGTGTGTGCTGATACCTACATGAGCTCTACAGCAGATTGAACAATGTTAATTAGCTTCCTGTTACAGAGTCAAAGGCTCATGCTCAGTCTGGATGTGCTGCTTACAAAGTGACTAACGTGGACAGGGATTTAAAATTCAAATGGTGCACATTCATAGAGAGCACACACCAACGCATTAATCATGAAAGGGTGACGGAAATGCATGGGCTACATATTGAGGCAGTCCGAAGGAAGAAAACGAAACATGTTTTCTTCAAATTCAGTTAATTTATGCGTAGGAGGCTTTCAGAGAGCGTCTGAATTCACACATGAACAATGGCCTTTCATAGTGAACAGAGTGAGTGAAGCTCAGTGGGCCCAAATTTGCGTGTGAAGTCAGAAATATCCCACCCCCCACATATCCAAAAAAGGCCTGGGTAAAAATTTTTGCTGTAATACTGAGAACGGGCATTTTTTTATTTTTAAGCTGGACCTCTTCACATAATTTCCTCTTCTGTTTTTTTTTTCATTATAAAAAATTGTGGTTTCAACTTGGCTGCTAGGTCGAGTTTAAACCGTCCGACTGTGCTCAAGGATTAGGCAGCTGCACAGCCCCAGAGGAGGGGCTCAGCATTCCAGCTCTGCACCTCTGTGTGTGTGCATGTACAAGAGGAC